GACGGCTGCCCCCTCCCTGATATCCCCCCAAAACCCCCCCCTTTGATCCTAAAAGGCGAGGGAGGGTCAGTGGGGAAGGTGGGTGCCGCTGGGGGCTGGCCCCGGGGCTGTTTATTCCTTGTCTAGACTGGGAATTTCTCCCGGATCCAGGGATAAATGGGGCCGGAGCATCGGGACGGATAATTCATGGTTGAAGCCGTGAACGTGCCCCACTGCAGGGTTAATGCCACTGGGGTTCAGCGAGGAGCTGGGACGCACGTCTCTCCGGCCTAAATATCTCCCTCTCCCTGCCCCAAAGCGAAGCCGAGGCTCGAACATCATGGGGGGAGGAGGAACAGCAGCCCCCGGCCCGGGAATTCCAGCCAGACGCACGTTGTAGGGCCAAATCTGAGTTACCAATGAATATTTATTTGGGGAGGGGGAAAGGAAGCAGACGTATATACATATACATTCAGTCACATACGTTTCCTCCCAGAAAAAGGCCCCGTGAACATATATTACATGAGAAGGTCTCCAGATTATTATTATTTAAAAGCTGGGGTCATGCCCCAAAGGGCTCGCTGTGGAGGGCAAGCGGCGATGGGTCCTCGCTGGCCTCGGATGCAGCGAGCCAAGAAGATGAGGACAGGTTTGGTGGCAGCCGTGTGACAACGTCCCTTAGGACACCTGAAGAACATTGGGACTTGATCTCTTCTCTCCCCCAGCACACGGGGCCAGCGTCCAAACCTCAAACTGGCTTCCGAGATCTCCTAAAACCGCGCCGGGATATTCAAAGTTTTGGCCCCGGTCCTTCTTCCGTACCCTCAAATCTCATCGACAAACTGGAGAGTGGTTTTGTGATGTCCGGAGGCGCGCGGTCCCGGGAGGAGGAGGAGGCAAAGCGGTGCCGTACTTGGTGATTGTATTAGCAAGGAGAAAACATGCACGGTAGCCATTTAGTGTTCCCGTCTCGCCACCTCCGCGCCCCTGCCCTGTTCTAAAATGAACAACACCTCAGTCCCGCTCCCCGCCGCAACGGGGAGATGCTCATCCCCAGCCCACCCCGCTCCCACCCTCTCCCTCACTACTAGTGGGATATTATTCCGTGAACGGCAAATTATTTTTCCCCGTGACAGCTGGACAAGGAGGGCGCAGGCTCGCCTGCACGGCTGTACAAGGAAAGCAGCCGAGCTCGGCCTTGTCTCCAACGTGGTGAAGCGTCCGGTTGCTCCCCAAAACACGCTGGACATCCCCGACTCGGTGGAGAGCATGGTGGGGACGGTTTGCGGGGTCCACGCCTGCAGGCACGTTCCTGGTGGGGACCGAGCAATGGCAGGAGGGTTTGGGGTGCCAGTTGGCTGCAGGGCAGCCAGATACAGGCCCTGCTCTCCAAAAATGAGCCCCCCCCATCAGCCG